ACGCTGCAGTATAAATCAGTCTACTGGGTCTGTAGGTAGGGGTGGAAATGCTGGGCAAGAGAAGAAAGCAAGTTTCAAGAGCCCTCCCTAACCCAGAAGGACTGCCATTATCCTCAATTTTTGGATTCATAGATTCATAGATTCATAGATTTCTAGGTTGGAAAAGACCTTAGAGATCATCGAGTCCAACCATCCCTAATCCCCATTAAACCATATCCTCAGGATAACACCCTGCCACTCCCTAGCCCATTGCTCCTGGACTTTGTTTTGGATTTCTTAGCATCACGCAGCCAAAAGGCAGAAGAACAAGAATGACCTGGCATGGGAGGAACAGGATGCTTGGAGGGGTCAGAGCCCCCTCCAGCCGTTTGATGCCAAATCTGGGACTGATGTCGACCACAGTTTATCTCCTGCTTTGTAATAGCTTTGGAAATAAATCAATCAGGAAAAAAATCACCATCTGGTACACGCAACGGGCAGATGTGTGTTGTGCCCAAGGGCTTCCCAGAGTAGAGCGGAGAAGGAGTGGGCTCAAAGATGCCAGGTTTGATATGCACCCAGAGCAATGAAAGAAGTAAAACTGGACCAGTCACTTTGCAGAATTATGTTAGGTCACAATAAATGCTGATTTTCATTATTTTATTTTGCTCCTTATTTCCCTGCCTCCTGCATTGCCCAAAAGCCAACTCAGCCCGCACAAGGAACAGGCAGCCAAGCAGAGCACCCACCGGACGATCTCCAACAAAAGCAAAAAGGGCAAGATGTGTCAGAAAATGGAGTGATGCTGGGCACTGAACACGTGCAGAGAACAGAGAAATGAAACAAGAGCTTTGTATGTGCCAGAGATGACACGTGTGCGTGAGGGAATGGCCAAATGGAAATGCCTATTAAATTGAGGATGGAAATTCACAGTTTCAGCTCTACATGCTCTGTCTCCAAAGAGGGAGAAAGATGGAGGTCCATGTGACACCCTCTCCAGAAAGCAAGTCCCGCTTTGAGGGTACACGCTCCCTACAGAAGATGACGGCAGGTGAGGAGAGTCCCGTTTGTCCCTGATCCACCATCATCATGTATGAGTTACACAGCCACTACTCTTTTCTCCCCCTTCAAGTTGATGGTTTTGGAGCAGAACAGTCCAACAGTGCTGTGTATACCAGTAAACAAGTCACCCAGAATAAACAGCAAATGCACAAATTATTTCAGTCTGGGTTGCAATCAGAAACCAGGAGCAAGCCCTTCAGCCAGGTGATGCAACAAACGTCTACTTAGGGACCATGACTTAACTTGGTATCTCTGGTGCTGAGAAGGACTTCAGCAGAAAAGAGCAGCAAAGACCCTCCACTTTCACTTTTCATCATACCACGGCGACGCTGCCACAAGCAACCCACTCATTTCACAGACCAGCCCTGGTGTGATACACCATAACTCCCCGTACAGTTCATGACGTAGGAATGAAGAGCACCTTGACAATGCCCTCAATGCCACGTTATCTATGGTAACCATTAAAGATGGGCACAAACAAAATTGCAGGTACACTTCTCTTCTCCTCTCAACAGCTGGGTTCAAAAGGAGTTTGGGAACAGCTCAGCTCCTGTCCAAACACATGGTAAGATCAGGCAGGGCGAAGCTGCAGGCATCTAACTAACTAATTCTATCTCATTACCTGTAACATGTTGAGGAGCAGACTCCGGAATTTGGTTCCTTCCACCATGAAGAGGGCCATTTTGTCACAGAGCTTGGCTGCCGTGGAAGCGAAGCTGCGGTCCGTCACCGCTTTCTGGTAGATCGTCTTGACTATCTCCCCCAGCATTTCCTCAGAATTGGTAGAGTTCTGGGCCTCCTCCATGAAGGTGGTGAGCTTGGAGTCAACATCGCTGCTGTTGTTCCTCATGCTGTTGAGGATTTCAATTAATTTGTCCATTTTGTTCTTTTCAGGATTGGTGGTTTCCACCGTGACTTCGTCCTGGTCCGTGAAAAGGGAAAGACAAGGCGTCTGTTACACAAGGAAAAAACAGACATATCAGCCCTTGTCCTTCCACAAACAGCAAAGGGGGTAGGGGGTTGAGGAGACATATAAACAGACAAAGAAAAATCAAAGCATCTTTTAGAGGCACAATGGTCTCATCTCAGCATTGAAAACCACGAGTGAATGAGTTCTGACCCAGAAATGTTCTCTCTCCCCATTTCCCACAGCACGCAATCCCAGAGTCCTCTCCCTTGGCTCAGGAAAAGATGTACTCAAGGGTCCTGAGCCAGGGTGCCAAGGTCTGATCACCCCTGACTGCCTTTGGCATCTTGGACAGGTTTCTGGGGTGTCTGCAACATGGTGATAATTGACATTTTTTGGCCTCTATTTTGAAAGCGCACTGATGTTTGCAAAATGCTCAGATAACAATCCTACAAAAATACCTACTTTTTAATATATATTTAATGATCTAAATTGAGATCAAAGACACCACATAATCCTAGCATTAGAAAAACTCTTAACTTTCCCACCACCTGGCTGTTACACATTTCACTTCATGTCATCACCATACAATTTATTGCTTCTTTTCAACATTTAGTTATTCATTTGCCCCTTTCCCCCAGCGTAAGGCATGCATCCCGCTTGCCCTAGTCTGCTGCCTTCTACTTCTCTAGTTCAATCTTAAAACGTGCTACACAATACAAACCTGTAGCAATTTTTCAGACAATCCCAACGCCAACCAGCAGTTGGATTTGTCCAAAACTCCCATCAGGAGGCCACTTGTGTTGACAACACTGACCCAAGAACGGGTGTTTCTTATAAGACTACAAATCCGCAGGGAGAGCTTTAAAATGAATACTCTGAAAGTCTCTGCTATACTCCCATTGCTTTAAAGAACATAAAAATAACTAACAAAATCTCTTCCTCCCCCTCACAACACATACATAAATAGTAAATGCATAAGCATTCAAAGGTATACATTTCCAACACGCATTCCCGTGGAATTGTATATATTCAGATTATTTTTGCTACGCATTTTGGAAATCTCGTCGGAGGTACTCCCACAGATGCACTTTCCAGTCTGACAAAAGAATCTCGAGAGAAGGAATCTGAGTTTTAGGGGGGAGCAAATGGAGATACCATCTCTGAACTCCTCAGAAATCTGAGGCTGATTATTGTTTCCAAAAAGGATTTCTCTTCCGTCACTTGCACGCAACAGTTTTGTTGTTGTTGGGGTTGTTGGAAGGAAGGGGGAGAGATAAGGGTGTTTCTATCATTGCCGAGATAAATGGATATCAGCTTTCAAGTAGCTGACTCCAACTGTTCAGCACTCAGAAGTCAAAGCTCTGTAATCGTGGAGACAAACTGCCCTTTCTAGATCTCTTTGCAAAGCAGGTGAGCTCTGCAGATGGGGAGGCAAGTGGCTGGGATCAGCTGCTGGTGAAGGAGCGCCCATGTTGCAGCTTACATGTGCACCAGCCTTCCAGAGGGTCTTTGCACAGGTAGGGGAAGAGTTCCCAGTCCTTCCTGGAGAACTCAAGCTTGTAGTAACCTCAACCAAGAGGTCAAGCCAAGAGCCTTAGTATTGTGTCAATAAAAGGCCTTCTGAAGAAGCACGAAGACACTTCAAGAGAAGTGTTGACACTGGGAGATTAAGATAAGTTGGGTACATTCATGCAAAGGCCCCTTCAGCCCACCCCACCCTTTGCATGGAGCAACAGCCAGACCCTTGGAAAAAGGGAAACTCAATGTTTCCCTAAGAAATAATACCTTTTCTTTTAGTCTCCTCCGCAGCCTGTCTTTGGAAGACTGAAGCAAATTGATCTTGGGTCTTTCCCCAATGCGCTCGTGAATACTGTCTTTCCTCTTGGTCTCTGACTCCTGGATGTACTGCTGAGACTGCTTCTCCACAGCCTCTGGGCCTCGGTGCGTCTCCACAGGAGCATGCACCGTGCAGACAGAGGTGTCCTCGATTTTCAAATTCTCAGTCTCTTTGGCATTTCTGTGCGTTTCTTTGTCATTGGGTGAGTGCTTCTGGTTGTGGTGCCATCTCCGGTTCTGGCTGTAGCCGTGGTGGCCTGTCCTGCTTGAGGAGTGAGGGGCCTGGCCCCCTTGGTAGAGTTTCTGGTGGTCCCTGTTATGTTTGGTGCCACCTTGCTGATGATCTGCGTGCTGCTGAGGCTTGTTCCCACCAGGAAGTCTTTGCTGTCTCCTGCAAAGTCAAAGGAAGTTGTTAGTACACCCTTTCCTGCATGGTCCTGTTTGGTCAACACACCTATCCCACCACACAGCCTGGTCCTTGGTGGGTGGGCTCTGTGGATGTTCGTGCCAGAAAACGGGAGTCAACTTCTTGGCATCTAACACAACCTGTAACCAACTCATGCCTCTAAATCTTTTTCAATAACAGGCACATTTCAGCTGAAAGTTTTCATGAATAGTTAGATAACATATTTTCCAAGAAAATCTCTCCCAGGTTTCTGTGTTTCCTGTGTTGCTTCCACGCCAA